GCAAGACGTCGGCACCCTGAGGTGGCTGGCAAGCTCAGAGCGGCAGTGTGTGTGGGGGCGGGGGGGGGGGGAAGTGACAAGGCCGGGGAGCTGTTGCCGTGCCCGGTGTGGGCCCAGCAGGGAGGCGGGGTGGGTCAGTAGGTGAGGTGGACGCCTGCCACCTCACGCGGGGTCGGGGTACACCCGGGTTTTAGGCTGCCCCCTTCGCCCCCTCCCCGCAGCAGCAGGGCGGCTAGATTGAAGAGGGGAGTGAGGAAGGAGAAAACGCGTACCTAGCGTCTGCCTTGACAGCTCGAGCTGGTGAAGTGCCGTCGAAGGGTCGCTGGCCTTGGTGCAGTTCGCACGGTTGACGGTAATAACGCTTCCAGGGATGGCTTAGGCTGCGGGGACATTTTTACTCCTTAGCCCTCTTCCAGGGTTGTTTTTCCAGAAGCAGCAGCTTAGAAAGATTTTTTTTTTTTTTCAGGTCGGTTGCCAAAATCTGTGCAGGCTACTGTGTTTGTGCAAAGATGGAAAAACACCATATTTTCTGGAATGTGATCTTGTGTTCTCTGTGAGTCAGAGGCTGAGGCTCTGTTGGGATAGAGGGTGACTATTATAGAAGATAAGGAGCGAAACGGTCCGAATAAACTATTTATCTTGTAAATGCGTGATCCGGGTTTTGTTCTGCAACAACCAGTTCATGGAAGAACAGTGTACAAACAGGGAAGGATACGTTCCCTGTACAAGAACTTGGTTTTCTTCCATATAGTTACCAGTATTCGATAGCTATTTATCACTTATTTTTCACTGATGTATTACGATTGAAGTCGTTCTAGACAGATATACTGAGCATTTTACATGTTGCACACTCGCGGCCTCTTATTTCACGTCAGCTCGAGCAGGGCAAGTCTGATGTTCTGCTCCTGAAGATCTTTTAGGAATACTTTTCAGAGAAATGGGTGAAGGCGTGTATGGAGGGTACCCGCCTGTATTCTTAGTACCCTCTAGCAGAGGGTGTGAGAACATCTGAAATGCCTTGACAGCGGGCACTTAAGTATCTGTTTCTTGTGCTATACTCTGAGAAAAACAGAATACTTGAAAGGTTCTTGCTTCACATGTGTTTTTTGCTGAGTCTCTGCTCATAGGCTAACACCCCTTTTTTTTAGCAGTCGGGGGTAGTGACAGTAAGTCTCCGGCAACGTGTACTTACCCTGTAAATTATTGCTTTGGTTGTGGCATCTCTTTGGTCTTTTATTTCCCCCCCGACTACTTTTAACTGACTTATGAGCACTGGATAGGAGGCAGAGTCCAAAAAGGCACAAGATTGTCTCGGCTATAACAGCAAATTCTAGATACACGGTTATCTTTTGTCTTTCCCTCTGGTCTAAAGTGACTATTGCCTATATATTTTTGTTGTTGTTGGTTTTTTCCCCCTTGTATTCTTTTTTTCTTGTATGTTTGCAATACTCTGTTCTGCCTATATATTTTTGTTGGTGGTGGTTTTTTCCCCCTTGTATTCTTTTTTCTTGTATGTTTGCAATACTCTGTTACCCTTTTGTGTATTCATTGGTGTTTGCAGCGTCATCTGTTCTAATACTTGGTTTTGGTGCGTGTTTGATTCATGAAGCATCGTTTGTTAGCTTCCTGCCACACGGTCTCATAGTCTCCAACTGGTTTTCAGCAGACGGTTGCTGAAGTTACCGGCTTACTCGCCAGACTTCATCGTGTTTCGGTGCCTTTCATGTAACTACTGGCTTACTGCTTGCTTGGGTTTTAGAATGGCAAATATGAATGCCGAGGCACGGAATTATGAGAAATGCCATTCTCTTAAATGGCAGGGAATTCATGTAGAAGTTTTTATGAGCGTACCCTCAAAGGAGAAATTTTTCTGCCATGATGGTTTAGATACTCATACGTGCATGTATTGCTTCTATTAGTCCAATATCAGACTGTCCTTACCGGTGAAATAAATCTTGCTGTGTGCTGTTGTTATGTTAAACTGTTACGTACGTTTTTCCATAGCCTGTAGTGGAAGTCTTAGAAAAATGAAATGATAGTACAGAAAACAGACTTTTCCAATTCAAGAGGCTGCACGGGTTTGGATTGACTTTTGAAGCCTGAACCTGGAATATTGTATACAGGGATCAGTTTATGAAAAAAAGATCATCAGTGCTACCTCTTGCAGATAGCTGGCACGTGTCTCAGTCATCTTCATTTTCTGGGTGTGCTGGTAGTTTTCAGAACAGTATTGGAGTGTTGAGCAATTCAGGTGTTTTCCTTCCACCGTGTGGTGGGAGGAGCAGGGAATTGTATTAAAAACAAAACTGTAAGGTGTGTTTCATAAATCTTGTAAGTTTGCAAGTTAGATTGCTACCAGATTCTGCAGATTTGGCTACTTCTGGAACAGTATAATGCAATAATGTAGCTTATCAAGTTAATTGTGATTATTTTAATCACTCAGATTCCCCCCCTAAACTGGTGTTTCATTATTCTTAGATGCTCCAAGATTTAACTGTGAGAAATAAACTCTGAATTAAATAATTAAGTATACGGTTCTTAACAAGTGTTTCGATATCCTGCAAGATTATAAGTTGCCTTTGCTTAGAATTGTGCTTAAATCTTGGAGATTTGTGTATGAATTGCTGCAATGATTTTAGAGTTCATGTTGAGCATGCGTAGAGAGATATGAAATACCAAAGCCTTCTTCAGTGTAGTAGAAGTTTAACTTTCTGTAAAAATACAAACTTTCAGTTGGTAATTTGTTGTTGTGGTGTGGTTTTTTGTGGGTTTTTTTGTTTTTTTTTTTTTTTAGGGAATGTCCTTACAATTTGGCTGAAATAGTTTTGCTCAAAGTACTACAAGCTGCAGCCATAATTAGAAGGCAGGTCATAGCTAATTTGTCACTATATTCGACCATAAGTATTCTTCTTTACTCCTAGAGGAGTGTTTAAAAGAAGGCGGGGGGGTGAAGAGGGAGAAGAATAAATATTATTTGTCTCTGTTATTTGTTCGGCTAGTTTGGGAGGGGTTATCATATCATGTAGCAAATTTGGCACAATCCTTTTTGTCACTAGTGTGGAAAAGTAATTTTAACTCATGCCCTGGTTTTAATAGATTAAGTGTTAATTTTTAGTGACTTGTTTTCCACGCTTAATCTGTGTAAGTTGGTTGGGTTTTTTAAAAATAGAAGATGATGATAACGTAAATTTGCATAAAGGAGAATAAAGCATATATATGTACAGAGAGCCGAAAAGTTAGTCTTTATAATAGCTTTTCATCTTTGAAGATTGCTTTACAGCCTCTACAGGTCCTGTGGCCTATTGGCTGAACTGTTTTCTCTAGTACCTAGCAAACCTAAATGTTTCTCAAGTCTATTTTAAAAAATAATGAAACAGTAGAGCTTAAAGGAGAATAGTAAAAGCTGTAAGCATTTTAATAGGTTACTGTTTTATTTCAGTTGAAGTTGTTACATACGGGGGTGAAGTTGAATGGTCTTCCATTTCTGTCCCTAATGACCTCAATTCTCCATAGTTGCTCTGGGATTTAAGGGTTCAAACTCTGGCACGGAATTAGGTCTTCTGTTATCGAGTCCCTGTTCAGCAGGTAGCGGAAAGTGTAGATCTTCCTTGAAGTGTCATTGCTGTGGGGCTATCTGTAATTACATTTAGTAGGCTTGCACTGCATTGTCTTAGTTTTCCATAGGTTCACTGTTCAATTCTTGCAGCTAATCTGACTGCGGCTCATGTGTTTGTAAAGTGGAGCGTAATTTAGGTAGGGCCTGATGCTGTAAACTGGAATTACACTTTTGTTAACAACATAGTCCCGAAACGATTTCCTGTAGCAGTTTTATTAAATTAGATTCTTAATGGTATTGGCTCCTGCACGCCAAAATGTGAAATTACTTTAAGTGTTCATGCCACGTATCCCGTTTATACTTGCGATGTGGTGCATGAATTAAAGTGGCCTTTCGCCTCTGGTTCCATAGCAACGAGTCGATGGGAACAGTTCTTTCGTGGCAGCTCTACACTGTGAGGTACACTGCAACAAGGAAGAAGTGGGTTGTGCAACAAGTTGCCAGGGGAGACGTACCCCGACTGACTTCCAAAGAAAAATACGATGGAGACGAAATTTGATATGATTAAAATAATTCGGGCTTTGGCTGGTGTGTTGCTTTTAGTATAGTAGAAGTAGGTGTTGGCTGCAAGTACAGAACGATCTTCTGTACAAGTATAGAAATGCCTGAGGCCCTGGGTTTACTCCTGACATCAGTCAGCACTTGCAACTGGAAACTCTGGTTTTTAAAACAGTTCGATGAAATGGATGTTGTACTGAAGCACCGGTATACGTTTGAATGTTCTTTTGGATGACAGCCAAACCTCTTTCACTAGGTAAAAAATGTAGTCGGGTAACATTACTGTATTGTTTGTTATAGAGGACAGTGTTAAGATAGTTAAAGAATCAAGGAGGAGACTGATTCCCTGTGTAAAATTACAGACTGTGCGTAAATTTTTGTAGTTGAAAAGCATTGTCTTGATCTCTCTGTAGACATTTTTCTCTGAGGTTCAACCTTCTAGCTGTGCCAAGCTGTCAAAATAAAATGTCTTGTTTAACATTGATGTTGTACAAGATGCTGCGCTAGTAAAGAGTTAAGTGCCGTGATGAGCAACAGTGTTTTCAGAAATTGCCTGGAATAATGTTTTTTGAGAAACATGTATTACAGGTATTGCAGAACACGCTAAATGTCTGTAAATGTCAAGTCCAGGATCCCGATAAGTAATTTCTTCTCACCGGAGGGTGTTTGTCTTTTCTCCAGTTCTGTAGAAGATGTTTACATGCTTTTGCCTTGTTCTGCTTTGGTAGCGATGCAGAGCACAGGTTAACAAGTAAATGTTTTGAATACATGAAGATTTTTATGTTTATTTTATACTTACTTCACATGTTTCAAAAGCTATTGAAAATTATCAGGCTCGTTTTCCTTCTGCTGTGAATCGAAGACTATTCCGTAGTGTAACTGTAGACTTATTTTTCCAGATCCAAGTATTTTAGAACATGTTCAACAGGAGAACACTTCACTATAGAGGTGAGTGCTTACATTTCTAGTGATTAAAAAAAAAAAAAAAATGGGAAAAGCTGAATTCTAGCAATGCCTTTAACACTTTTTGCGGTTTATGTACACTGAAATACTCGGGGTTATTCCAGACCAAATCGATGCTGCACTGGGTGGCGAGATAGTGGTTCTTATAGCACCTCAGAACATTAATACTTCTCTTCTTTCCAAATGATAGATTGGAGTGACATGATGTATCTGTTGTGATCTGATACTCAGCACCAGAGCATTCTAAAGTCTGCCTATTGCATCTCTCATCACTTTTGTGTTGGGAGTGATTTTTCTTTTCTGCTTGTATAAGTGCGGGATATTTAGTTCTGGATGGCAGGATCATGAATATGATTCTACAAAAAGCTAGAATCTGATGAAGTTACTTTATAGTTAGTTGCATTCGTAGTCCGCTTTGTTCGCTACAGAGGTCCTTTCTCGGCCACCGAATGTCACCCCTTTTTGCCAAGGGTAGCGTAAAGTTAATTTGTGTAAGCTGAGATTCTCAGAATAACCTGGTTTACTTTCCCTGAGTGTTCCTTATGGTCTAAAAGTCCTAGACCTTTCAGGTTGCCCCCATTACTGAGAGTAACATTAATAACTGTAATCACCGCTTTGGCTTTCAAGAGCCGGGGCAGACGTATATGGTGGGGGAAATCCGTTTTAGCGCACAACTTCCATTTGCGAGAGAGTGTTCCTGAAGCAGAAATCTGATAGGGAAAAGAAGGTGCTGTCTTCCTCCCAAATTGTGTTTCATATTCTGCTTACAGCAATTAGTCAGTGTACAGGTCAATAAGGAGTCTTGCTGTAGGTACTGGCCTCCATGTTTGATGTATTGATCACATGTAAGATTACTATACTGAAAATAGTACGGAGAATTTCCATTTGCTTTGTTTTTATGTGATAGTTGAATTTCTGCTGGACGAGTTTGTGCAGCTTAGAATGCTTGGTGTATTCTTGCCCGGTTTGGGCTTTTTTTGGCTTCCTATCATTAAGCATTACATTACCTTTATTGACCTTTAGTTTCTTTTGTGCGAAGCTGGGAGGGGGGTTGTTGTTGCTTGTTTTTTTGGGAATTCTGGGTAGAAAGTAACTGTACATTTTCTGTAAATTAAATACATGTTCAAATACTTTTTGATAAGCATCACAGTTGCCACGTGAGGTGGAGGTTACGTGCACTCTACCCCTTATCTTCTGGATTTTTAATTGCGTGGGTGCTTTGGTCAGAGCCATACCATTCCTTCCACTGCTTGTATTATAATGCTTTGGATACACAGAATTATTAGCAATCTTAGAAGCTAATGAGATTTCATTTTTATCAGGGCCCTCACGTAAGTTGTAGCGAATTACATGAATGTTTTTTAATGTTGACTCTTCTCCTTTTAGGAGAACGTAATGTTTAAGGAAAGAAACGTTGGCAAGAAGATAGGTCCTACTCTAAAAGTAATGCTTTCTCTGAAAGTAGGGGCTTTCATAAATGGTATTGCAGTCCCACTGTTATCATTGGAGTAGTGTTTTTACAAGACAGATTAAATATGTAATCATATTTGCTGTATGTGTTTAGTGACTTGTTACATTGAATTGTAAAGATGGTTTACTTCTTTTTCTCTCTGCAGTTTGAGAACCTAGTGGAAAGTGATGAGGTAGGTACCTGGATCATAATGTGAAACCTGCTAGTACAACCCTTAAAAATGGTTCCAAGATCTGTATCTTCTTCCCACTTCATGCTATGTTGTAGACTTAAATTGCAGGTGGGTTTTTTTTTCACTTTGAGTTTTGCTTGCTATAGGAATGAATACTTAACACTTTGGGAGAGATGAAGACCTAAAAGAAGAGAAAACTCGTTGGGGGGGTATGGGAAGTAACCCTTTCAGTAAGAGAGCACTGTGGACATTAGGAAGGCGAAAAGAAAAGATAAAAGGGGGGGGGGAAGGGAGGGGAAGACTTGAAGGAGAATTTGCTCCTGGTATAACTCTTGTATAAGACTCAGCACATGCTCTCTATCTGAGAACATAAATGGACCTGGGTTGCTTTGGTAAGGAAAGTTTTGGGAGTGCTCTGTCTTTACAGTTATGGGTGAACTGGCTGAACAGTACTTCAGAAAAATAGAAGTTGGCCTTAAAACTTTGCTCTTATAAATTTAATACAGCTTGATAACGGGTGGGACACACACCACGTTTTCAACACCCTGCCCTGTATTTAAAAACATGAAGACTAATAGTTTGGTTCCTGAAATACACCACCGGAATATTTGTTTTCAGTTGGAAAGACTTACTTGTTTTACTCAGTGAGCCACTTCAGTTGAGTGCATGACAAGATTTCTTTTTTTTTTTAAATTCCAGAATAAAACAGGGGATTTTCCCCCCCCCAATTGTAAAACCAACATATGGGAGAAACTATGATTTCATGCTGGTTTTTTTCCCATCTTAAAATTGATTGATTGATGGATTCTCAAAAACTCAGACTTTTTTTTTTTTTTTTAAAACAGGGAGAAAGCCCAGGAAGCAGTCACAGGTAAGACTTAGAGATTCAGGACCTCTCCTTCCCTCTGCTCTCCCACTGTGACTATTAAATTTTTCAGAGTTCCTGTCAAAACCCTTTCTGTCTTTTTAGTTGTCTGATACATGGAAAGAATACATGTCAGACTAACCTTAATGCTTAACCACGTCAAAACAGTTCAGATGATAATGCATCATGCAAAAACTGTGTAAGACAGTTAAAACAGTATGTTGCAAAGAGAATCTTTATTCTTGTTCCCAGGGTCTGCATTTAAAGTTATACGGGTGTTAGTGCTACAACTCCAGTGAATTTTTTTGTGAGCATGTTAATATTTATGTAAGCAGTAGAAACTTAGAGGTCTGCTCTGTAGGAAGCATATGAAGGCACCAAAGTGTATGGTTTGGTTGTCTAATTCTAGACATTTTGTAGTATTTAAGTTTGATAGTTCCCAAAATGTTGTTCCCTGTCAATGGTCCTAAAGAAGCGATATAGCAAACATTAGAATTATGATAATGCTTTTCCGCTTGTTTGTCAGATACATACAAGTAGGCATAAAGTAGGCAACAGATGAAAGGGGAACAATTTACAATTAGGGGACCAAAACAAGTAAGAAAAAAAAGTGAGATTTACACCGCGATGATATTAACCATTCTATTGGAGCAGTTCTGTTAGCAAACAATGTTTTGAAAATACGCTTTCTGTAAAGATACAAAAAATGCTTTGCAAGAGTAAGGAGAGACAGCATTGTCTTGAGTAAGCTGGAACTTTGGAACTCTGTTCCCAGGAGGAGCAGGCCAAAAGCACAGCTTGTTGAATTTGCGTTGAAGGACAAGTCAAGAAAGACCGTATGGATGTGTTTAAGTGCAACTTAGGGTTGTCATGCGTAAACAGTAGATGGAGTCTTTTTGTGTTTCTCCCGTGCTTTTAGACCTCTGACTGAGGAAGAAATTGCTGACTTGAAAGACAGACATTACGATTCCATTGCTGAAAAGCAGAGAGTTGTTGATATGAAACTTCAGTCAGAGGTAAGCAGTTATGACGACTAGTATGGTACGGGTAGTTTTTCTTTTAAAGTAGTTAAGATCAACCATGAACACGAGGAGATTCCATTCGCATGAACGAAACAATTGGGTTTTGTTCATCACTTGGTATTTTTTAGTCTACAAGATACGCAAAGAGATTGCTGCACAACTAAGTTTGCATCAGAGAGAGCTTTTTTTTTTTAATGGCCTCTTAGCTGAAAAATTGAATAGGCTGGCTGTCTTGACCGAGCTCTGTTAAATTTGAACTTTTTTTTTTACGAAAGGCAAAATGGGGAGTATACTTGATTCAACTTTTTTGTGCTCACTTTTTTCCAGAGCTTTTCTTAAGGGGGGGAAAAAAAACCCCATAATTTGTCATTTTGTTGTAGTGTGTTGCAGCAATTAATGGAATATGGTGCGGAATACAACGTAGAAATCGAGAATGATTTTTAATAAAGTACCAATGAAACATGCAACTGCAAAGACTTAAATCTTTCACGGTGCAGTTCATAATAAGACGCAACATGCATTTACAGCAATTCACTAGTAATGATGTTTATTCAGTAGGGTCATGTTTAGTTATCTAAATTTCTTGGGATGTTTGGTGGGGGGGAAGCCATTAGATTCAGTTAATGAAGAAAAATGTTTTAGCTATAGTCAATTTTACTTTATTTTTTTTATTTTCTGGTAGCTCTTCTTTTGTTTTATTGAACTTATGGCTTTATTCATAGGAAGATAGATAGGTTCTGCTTTTGTTAACCATTACTATTTTGTTCATATACAGTTAGCCTTACAAGAGGAGAAGTTAAGAATAGAAGAGGAGGCTTTATATGCTGCACAACGTGAAGCAGCCAGGGCAGCAAAGCAGAAAAAGCTCTTGGAGGTGAGGGGAAAAAGACCCCAATATATATCAGAGCTTCTGTTCTGTTTCTATGTATGCGGACTTTCTTAATATCCTTTACATCTCAGGAAACGTAATGAGGAAATTGCTTTGGCTTGTAAATTCCAGTAGAGAAAGAAATACACGATTTAGAAAGTACAGCTGACTGGAACAGCTGAAAATGATCAGAATTGTTTGTAACGGCTTATGTTGCAGAGTATAGATTTTGAATGAGATGTACGATTTTTAATCTATAATTAGCTTAACAGACTTCTTGCATTATATAGAAGTTACTGATCTTTAATGTAAAGTGATCTGTAATGGTTTTCTAGTAAAAAACCCTGAAATTGAGAACATATTATGACATCATTTAGACTTGTAAAATGTACTTTATATATTTGTGCACTTAATTGTTCCTTATCTCTGTGGTTTGTGTTAACATGGGGATAGGTGTTTCCAAGTCATCTGAACTTACTGTTGACCCTGCTTTGAGCAGGAGGTTGGACCAGATGACCTCCTGAGGTCCCTTCCAACCCGAGTTGTTCTATCACTTTGTGATTTGTATGTGTAGTAGCCAAAGTCCAGCAATGACTTAACAAGTAGTCTTTATTTAATATATCTGTGCCTACTTTCAGATGTCTGGTGTCCATGCTTTTGGAGCTTGGTCAAGCAAAACAAAAGCCACGTTATGTTTTCCTGCGTTTTTGAAAACAGATGCTGTTCTGTATCCCCATAGCATTTATTACTGATGGTTTTCATGTTGCAGTTCAAAGTGTTACATATTATCAGTGCATTTACTATTTTTGCCATCTTAATAAGCTGCTAAAGTATGTGTTCTCACGCAAATTTCAGGTTGCCGGAAATACTTATGTTAAAAAGAACATTTTCACTTTTCGCTATCTGTTCATCTATAATGTGTATGGCTGCAGTTGTAGCATGTTCAAGGAAGCGGTCCACTAGGCATGTGATACGTGTTCAGTTAGAAGTAGATTTTCAAAAGTTCACATTTAGATTAATTGAAAAAGTCTGAAATCTACAAAAGGTATAGGGGAGATGTGTAACCCCAGTGTATTGTCTGTATTGAAAAGCGAGTGAATTGAAAATTGTTATTTCCAGACTGATAGTGATGACTGAGTTTTCATCTAATATTTATGTTGCTAAGTATAGGTCTCATTTCACATTTCTCTTTCTATCCTCTTGTCATTTGGTATGGGAGGGTTAATTCTTTCTGACCTCTTTTTGCCTGCCTCTTTTTTTTTTTTTAATGCTTTTGGTCTATATAAAGTCAGCGAAAGTAGATCGTTATATGGCTTTAACTGGTTTTTGTAGAAGTTCTGTGCAAGCAATGCTATTTTTCTTGTCTTTCAGTATTTTTAATAGGCACCTCTTTTAGTCAGGACCTAAGATAGAACGCATTATAGAGATTTTAATTTTTTCCTCGCATAAAATTAGTACCACTTATCTCTCTTTACAAACAACACCCCCCCAAAACCCATAAGGATTATAAGGATTTCTGAGGAAGCATTTTTTTATAGATACGCATCAAGCATTTAACCTTTCTAAATAAAGTAGAAGCCATTTTTGAATACGTAACTCATCTCTTTGCTGTTTGTGGGCAGAAGCCTTCTAAATGAGAAAAGGGCTTTTTCACTGGAAGTATGGCATCCCTTTAAAACTAATTTGGCTTGCTCATGTTGCCCTACTAAATTGTCAGGAGCATTTTAATATATATGTATCCTGGAACTTCCAGTGCTGGATATTTGTATGTGACCTGGCAAAATGGGTAGATAATTTCAATTGGATATTATGTGGGTATATGAATCGTGAAAGAAATTTGTTGCATATGTCAGTAATTTATTTTTACAGACTTGTTAACTATGTTGGTGCCAAATTCCTGTCTCTTTCTCCCTGCGTACTTAAGTCGTCTCACCTATAACCACCTTTATGTGATATTTCTACTTCTGCTACGCTTCCCATTTCCTTACTGGTTTCAGTCTGCTTATTCTGATACTTATTTAAATACCCGAGGTGGAAAGTGTGCCAAGAAACAAAGCCATCGTCGTTTTGGGATTGAAAAATACTAGCTGATCCAATGCAGTTATCTCACGAGACTATTTACCCAGCGAAGAGCAATTCTTAGATGAAGTATAAGTTGCCATAAAAAATTCTGGTTTATTTACCCCTGCTTATCTTTTGCAGGGACAGATCCATTAAGGCTGAGAATAGATTTTTTTTTTCCCAGAAAATACAGTAACTGGATACAACAGACTTGTCTCTAAAACTAGCTCGTTCATTTTTGTTTTAGTCTTTGTCATAATCAGTGAACAATTACTGCTTCATAACTGATTTACCTTTAATCACATAGCTGATGTGCCCAGTTTTTATGCTCTCATTTTTTCAAGGCAGAGAAAAGAAACTTGAGAGAACTTAAGTTGTTTAAACCCTAAAACTTAAGCAGAACCCTACTTCATGACATCTGTTGTTCCTCTTGTAACTACAAAATAAGTGCATTTATGGCTTGTGTCATGCATTTTGACATGCTTCTTTTTTTTGCCTGGCGATACTGTGAAAGCTTTCTACCTTAAGAGTGTAGAGGTATTAATACTTTTGGCTCAGAAAGGCAACAAAGCTATTATTAATATAAATGAAGCACTTAATGCTGTTACAGACAACCAGAGGAGATGGCAGTATTGCTTTGTGCAGGGATAAAAGGACCTGTAGGAAACGTTTCTTTTTAAATGGTAGGCTGACTGTTCTTGCGCACAGAGCAAAACAAATCAAACGTAACCCAGGTGTTAGTTGTGCGTTGAAAAAAACTGTGGCTTAAGAAGAGAAGACAATAGAGAAGAGGACAGATGTAATCATGAATGAGGTGGTGTTCACATGTTTCTAGACAAATTGATGCTTTTTTTTTTTGGGGGGGGTGCATGAAATAGGTTAAAATGTTGAGAGCTCTATTCACAAAGCTACCTTCTTTTAAATGGAGAGTTTTCTGAGATTGAAAACGATACCACTTGCATGTAACAGTCCCTTCATACCATAAAATTTGATCTTTATTTGAATGAAAGTCAGTCTTTTCTTGAGTTGTACTTAGACTGCTCCAAGGACCGGGACAGTGCTCCTTCTAATGTCGCAGTTAAGGGAATGCTTAGTGTATTGAGTAGATTACTCTGAGCGATTGCATTCAGCTTTTTCAATAATTTACTTCTTTCGATAGCAACGTAGACAGCAAAGGATAACACAGAGAGCGCATGCTGTTAATAATGGAGAATATCAGAGGTAAGATACAAAATTTTATTAATGGTAATCGAGAACCATGACTGTTTTTACTCCTGTTTCCTCATCTCCCCCTTATCAAAAAAAAAACAAACCCAAAAACAAACTTCACATGTTTTCCAAACTTTACACACGCAGCATTTCTAAGTCAGAGTTGTTTTCATTCACTGCAGTTTTCTTCACACCAAATAGTTACTGAATGGAAACGGGTTACCATTAATCTGCAAAACTAGAGGGTAGATTGCATTCGTTCTGGTTTTCACTGTAGTTATTAGACTGATGCATACAAAATTGGACCTACTCCCAGCTACTAATACACCCCCCCCAGTGTTTTATATTAAAAAGGCGTTTATATGTAAAATCTCAGCTAATATAAAAATATTTTTATTATGCAGAACCCTGTTTGAAATGCCCAATAAAAATACACACTAACCAAGTGGGGAATTGAATGGTTTATATAGTCTGCCTGTTTCTTCATTAATATTACTCATTTATTTCTCTTCACTCCCACCTTCTGTGTTCAGTGTTGGGGGGGGGTGGGAACCCCCTAAAGAAATTTACTGTGGTACGGTATTTGAGTTTAGAAAAAGCTCTAAAATCAAACACCTGTTTTGAATAGAAGAGAAGGGGGATAGGAGGAATTTTCAGTTAGGGAGGTACAGTTAGAAAAGGAGCTGTGAAAACTGAGGTTTTATGGAATGAGTAGGAGCTACCCAGATTTTGGAAACAATAGCAGGATTTGAATTCATTAGTTAAAAAAGGAGTTGAAAATTAAGGAGGCATTATCTAAAGTGACAAAGGATGAGAGGGGAAGAGTTGTTCTGTGACAGAAGTTAATTCATTTTAAACTGAATACTACTAAAAATTGAGCAGAAGCTCAGACTGGGAGAGGATGTGAGGAGTAGGAATGGAAAGGCATTTTGTAGATCATCTCAAAAGATTTTAGTTTAAGGTGTATGTGCTTTGTAGCATAGAACTGGGGGCATGTGGATTAACATCTCCTATGGCATTCCTAGAGGTTTATAAAGCTAAAAACAATACATGCCTTGTTCTTACAGCTCTGTGGCAGAGGAAGATCTTGATTCTTTCTTAAGAAATACAAAATTCCAGTATGAAGCTTTTCGAAGTAGTAGTAAGTCTTCCTTTTCTTATGCATGTCTTTAAATATTAAGTGACTGAGGAGCACAGAGTGCTATTTCTTTTTCTAGATAAACATAATTTATTTATATTTTTATATACACACATGTATAAAATATCTGTACATACATCTGTATAAAAAAATCTGATGGAAACTTATCTTCCCCTCTAATCCCTGACGCTTCAAGTGTTTGAAAAACACAGCGTATACAACTTGTGCTACAGCCATTCTAGTTCTCAAAAGCAAATTCTGTAAGCAAACAAGTCCTGTGCATGGATTTTATTTTACTAAGGCTTTCCAATCATCTTTGTGGAGGCAACATCAATGCCGTGAACTTTTCTTGTAAAACCTAACTGTGTGTTAAAGATGCAAATATGTGTGTGTATAGCTTTTTTTAATCATCTCTTAGCAAAATAATTAGAATCATACTAATGGTTAATTTTTTTCTAATGAAGCGCAGGAGAGGATCTGGCTGCCTGCATTTAAAAATTCCACTAACAATTTAGAGGGGAACAATTTTATAAACTTAAATCCGTAAGTTTTGATGACAGTACGTGATAGTCACTTAGAAGTTGGAGGACTGATGCTAATTCTTGGGAAACACTGCCTGTAGTTTGTGGGGTTTTTTTTTGGGGGGGAGGGTGGTGGTGGTGTTTTTTGAGTTTTTTGCAAGTCTTCACACAAGTCTAGCTTACTAAATTCCTCTATAGTTCTAATTAGACAGTACTGCTAAATGTCCTCTTGTAATATCTTAGTGATGTTGACTATTAAAAAGCTACTGTATACTCTTTGAAGTGATGGGCGAAGTGCTTTTTCAAATGTTCCTGAGGTTTAAAGGCCACGAAGCACAACAAAAACTTTCTTGGAAAGTTTAGTTTTGCATATTGAACCTCAAATTCAAGTATGTTTACACATTAAAAATATTTTTTTTTTATATAGGACTTTCATCTGATGCTACAGTGCTGACGCCCAACACAGAGAGCAGTTGTGACTTAATGACCAAAACAAAATCGACGAGCGGAAATGATGACAGCACTTCGTTAGATTTAGAGTGGGAAGATGAAGAAGGTATTTATTCTGCCATTCAGTTTCTTTCTGAACTTACAAGTTAAAAATGCTGGCAGTTTAAACCATGTTGATTGTAAATTTGTCGTTTTCAAAAGGGAAGGTGATTTAAAAATTCTGATGGAATTTCTGTCCAGTGGGTAATGATCAAACTGTAAATTATTTTTACCTAGAAAATTGCTTATTTTGATAAATGTGGTTATCTGTCTGATAAATTAATTTCTTTGGATCCTTCAGTAAATGTCTTTTCCTGCATTTTGTGGAACTGACTTGTAAACTCACAACAAAACTAATGGTTAAGAAATGCTGCCCTCTTGTGAGCCAGGAGCAGAAGGACAGCTTGTTCTTTGTTTCAAAATCTGGAAGTTGGTCAGGAGTCTCTGACTGAAGTATTTCGGGAGGCATTGCTTCTTTAAACCCTAATTACTTTTATTGTAACCTCTACTGGAGACGTAGGTCTGCATTCCAGGTGAGTATCCCAACTATCTTAATTGCTGCTGCTGTTTGCTCTAGATCTTTTCTGTTCTTTTTAGTAAATCTGCAAAAGCTATTGTCTTTGTTTCAAAGTTAATCCAAGATTTTGAGATCTTGACTCTTAAAAAGCTCACCAAAAATAAGCTAGGATTTCTTTTAGCCAACTCATAGCACTTTTTTTTTTTGCTTTAATAGACTGTTTTTTGACAATCTGTGTGTAGTTTAAGTGTTTAGCACTATCAAGAGCACTAAAACGTCTAGTACAGAAACCTGTTTTGAAAGACTTAACTTTCACATATTTACCCAGAAATACTCAGCATCTTTTTTTAGCTAGTGTGTGCAAGAGCTATTAGCTTTCTAGAAGAACCGAAGCTAGGGCAGGATGATGTATGTTGAAGTACACTGGGTTTTACACTGAGACTAATTAGCACCAGTGCAGAAACAGTGTTCTGGGTCTGCACCGTGCTTAAGAAATGGGAAAATTGCTTTCTTTGCCTTTTTTTTTTTTTTTTTACAGATTGAGTTTTCCTCCCACTCTTAGATGTTAGCTTAATGTAATATCTATCTAAATAACTATTGAAAACCAGATGAGAGCAAGATTCAGTCTTTACCAGGCATACCTGCACGCAAAATTATCTTGTTCATTTGACTGGTTGAGGGTCTTGTTGCATGCGGGCTTGTGTTATCCTTGCTGTTGGGAAATCTAATTCTGTGTATAGAGTTAACAATCTGCAATGTTTGCTATTCGTTGTTCTGTTATCACTGTTACACTGACTTAGCCGTAAGTATTCATCTGGTTTTGAGGTAACTAAATAGTAAGTGCAGAGAAGTGCCAAAAACTGCCTAAAAACAGAGAACAAAATTACTGCGTAGTTCCGTTTTTCTGATTCCTACTAGCCTGTGTTCTACAAAGGGGAATAATTTTTAAGAGTTGGTCACTGAGATGGCAGCGCATCTCTTCTCCCTAGTAACCTCAAATCTTGAGCGGGAGAGGTGGTAAGAGAACCTACGGGAGATTGCTTATGCTTGAGAACATAACTTGTTTTCATGGCTGCCAAGGAAGGAATGTGGTCATTTGGAAGAAGTACTAGTGAGCATTGCAAGGACTTCGAGTAGTTTTTAGCACGTTCTTGGTAGGTCTGGCCCAACTGAAGTGTATTAAAACCATCTCCCTGAAGGGGTTGACTGCTTGCTCGGGATAAGAGGTTTAGTTAGTGTGTGTGCTGTCAAAATATACTAGGGAGACTGAACAACCCCAAAAAAGTAAGCGTGTGTGGGGGGTTTAGTGATCTGGGATATTAATTTATGGTCTAGTCACAGATTTTTACTGTTAGTAGGCAAAGCTGCACGGGGGCTGAACCCAAAGTAGAGAAGAACCGGTGTTTTGAAAGGGTTATTAGCCTTTTAAAAAACAACAACTAAGAATAGTAACAAAAGATGACATTGCTTGACTGAAAGGTTGCCAAATGAGGAGGTTCTTACCAGGGAATGCCTAGATCCTGAACTAGGCGTGATTATCTACTCCTCATGGTAGCGGATAATCACTACGTAATGGTAGTACTGAAATGGGATTGTGGATCGGAGCTGTCTGAGCACAGCAGATGCATAGTTTGTGCCCTGCAGTGTTGTAGTTTATAAAGAGTATTATACAGAAAGACAAAGGGCGTGAGGAGAAAATGGAAACGGTAACTGTCCTGGATCAAATACAGATTTTTGAGACGGTGGATTCTGTTTTCATTCTTTGGTGTCATGTACAGATAACAGACAAGGAACTTGTAGTACTAATGTTATATTGGTATTTTCGGCAGTGTGTCTTGAGATGGAGAACAGCTTCAGTGAGCCATTGGTACCAAAGGAATAATCGAGTTGAAAATAGCTATGTTTTGAAAGACCCGTGAACCATTTAACATAAAATCTATCATTTGAGTCTGATGAAGGGAAAAATTTACCTCTCATATTCCCCCCTCCCCGCCCTGTGGCTCTCTCCCCCCGCCAAGAGTTGTGTGTTTCACTTGCAGTATGTAACTTTTTAATTATAATTAATTAGTTAGATAGTTACTCCAAATTTAAAAGGGGAGTTTATTTAGGAATGTACGAGGAGTCCAGTGAGTAAGAAAAGTATCGTAAATCCTCTCCTTTCTCCATTCCAGTGGTGTGGGAGGGTTTTGATACACCGTGAGCAAGTCTGTAATTACTGATAAAATAAATAGCATCTCTGATGTCTTTGTGCAGTTTTCTGACCAATGTTTTTCCTTATTTTGTGTGAAATTAAATATACCTTTTCAGACAAACTGAAGACCTTTCCTAGACAAATGCACCCAGTATCTATCTAAATTTTAGCAGCTGTTTAAAATGTTTCACGTGATGATGTTTCATCTGTTTGTCAGTAAGTTGTGGGAGTATTAGAGGATTCCCCAGACATTTAGCTTTTCTGGAAATGGCACAGAACCTAAAATCTTCTAGTATTTACATGCTCGTAATGTAGGGCAGCGGGCTGCGTATATAGGAGAAATAAACAGTGCTAGTGAGTTGTTTCACTATGTTGTCTGTCTTCTGTAAAACAACGTCACTGGCTGTTGTGTTCATTTGGGCCCAAATTGACTGCAAACTATGGATTTAATGTGAACACCACCACCAGGAAAAATATGGTGATGCTTGGGAGTGTATCTTGGGAGATACCAGAGTCTGGATCTCTAGAGGATTCTCGTTGTTTCTTCCAATGTTCTAATGCAAACATAAAGGTCCTTCCCTCAAAATTACGTCTTTCTCATAAAGATGTCTTAAATCGCAGGCATGAACAGAATGATTCCAATGAGAGAACGCTCCAAAACAGAAGAAGATATACTCCGGGCGGCACTGAAATTTAATAGCAAGAAGACGGGAAGTAATCCAGCTTCAGCCTCTGACGATTCTAATGGATTGGAGTGGGAGAATGACTTTGTTAGTGCTGAAATGGATGATAATGGCAATTCAGAATATGCTGGATTTGTAAATCCTGTATTAGATTTGTCTGCATCAGATGTAAGGATATCTGATCGTCAAGACAGATAGTGAAACTGCGTGGCCCTTGTTTATGACCAAATAAGATGAAAAGTGAAATAGAATGTACAAAACCAATTTGCTCTTTTATAACATGGTTCCCTTTTTCTTACAAATTGATCAGCAAGGAATGGGAATGACTTGCTATCTGAATTAATTCAGAATTAAGTGCAATTTTATCATCTACCTTCTAAACTTTTATGAAAACTGGGATGATTCTATTGTGTATATTTCTGGATATCTGGATTTAATATAAAATTATCTGCACTAATTTAAGCTTCATAGCTTGACATATCTATATTTTAACTAGCCTTTTTTTCTGGATGATGTTTCTACTGATTTTGTTTTTAAAATTCGTCATTGGCCTCACATCTCAGAAACAGTCTTACATAATTTATCTAATACTTGAATATAGAAAAATAATTTTAAAAAATGTTTATTTCCAATACGTGCTTTTTGACTTGTTCTTAGCTATTTAGAGGGTGTACTTAGCCGGCTTCAAAGCAAAGTTCACACATGGTAAACTGCAGTTTTTCCCTGTCTAGCTTATAGTCTTCCTAGTCTTGCGTTGTCCTCTTTCCATTTATTTTATTTTCTTATTACTTTATGCTAAGCACAGTTAACCTCAATAAACATAGTATAAATCATCAGGTTAGGTAAGATATTGTCTTGTATAATATGCCAGACTTAGTGTGTGCTAGATAGAAAAACAACTATAAAAATTCTTTATGCGTCAAACCGGAAACTTTACCCGGTATCTAGTGGAGAACTGGGAGGACCAAAGTCTTGATTTCCCCGCCCACCCCCGAACAGACCAACATCTGTTACTACATGGTCCTTAAAATTCATAGGCTCATGGAACGGTTTGGGTTGGAAGGGACCTTAAAGATCCTCTAGTTCCAACCCCCCTGCCGTGGGCAGAGA